TGGACTCCAGGGGATGGTAGAGGACAGGAAGGCCTGGAGGAACATGGTCCATGGGGTTGCGATGGGTCAGACACGACTTCACAACTAACAGTAAATGGAATGAAAGAAACAAGCCCATCAACATGGAGAATATTCTACAGTGGAAGAATAGAATAGAATAGAATAGAATAGCAGAGTTGAGAGGGACCTTGGAGGTCTTCTAGCCCAACCCCCTGCCTAGGCAGGAAACCCTATATCGTTTCAGACAAATGGCTATCCAACATCTTCTTAAAGACTTCCAGTGTTGGGGCATTCACAACTTCTGGGGGCAAGCTGTTCCACCGATTAATTGTTCTTGCTGTCAGGAAATTTCTACTTAGTTCTAAGTTGCTTCTCTCCTTGATTAGTTTCCACCCATTGCTTCTTGTTCTACCCTCAGGTGCCTTGGAGAATAGTTTGACTTCCTCTTCTTTGTGGCAACCCCTGAGATATTGGAACACTGCTGTCATGTCTCCACTAGTCCTTCTTTTCATTAAACCAGACATACCCAGTTCCTGCAACCGTTCTTCATATGTTTTAGTCTCCAGTCTCCTAATCATCTTTGCTGCTCTTCTCTGCACTCTTTCTGGAGTCTCCACATCTTTTCTACCAAATCGATAGTGGAATTTAGGCCTGGGTCACAGAACTGGCAGCGACCCAGGCCTGCCATGCCCCCAAACCGGTTCCCTCACTGCTGCTGGGCCGCCACCATTTTGGTTTTTAGTGACTGTGCTGTAAATTGTTCTGCTCATGCTCAAAGAACAATTTACATTGAACAGCACATGCACAGCACACGCATTGCGTGCGGGTTGCAAACTGAAAGTAAAACCAGCAGCAAAACTCACTTGACAAATGTCTCAATTAGCAACAGATATATTAGGCTCAATGGTGGTCATAAGTAGAGCATTACCCCTTCCTGGTAGACCATTCCAATTGCTTTTTTGATCACAATTTTGCAAGCAGTGAAATTATGGACAGGGAAATTAGTTATCAGTTTGGTGTACAGGTAGTCCTTTCTTAATGTCCACCATTGGACATTAAGTGCAACTGTCAGAAATACATGCCAGTTGTGCCCACTACCCAAATTTTGATCACTTGATCATGGGGATGCTACATACGTGTAGTATCCCCATGATCAGGTCATACGTGTAAAAACTGGTCATGGGCCACTTTTTCCGTTGCCATTGTACCTTCAAATAGCTTCTGAATGAATGGTTGCAAGTCGAGGGCTACCCTTACCTGTCTTGAGTTCCTGCAAGAAAAGGTGTAATCTGTCTGTTTATTGGTCTTGTATGCCATCCACTCCCAAAGGACTCCGGGCGGATCTCAAATAAATAGCAAACGTTACCGTAATCCTTCTTGCAATAGTTCTTCAAGTTCATGTGGACACTTTGTCTTTGTGGTGGTGTGCAATGTTTCTGACATTCAGTACCTGGTGAACAAACAACAAACAAGCACATGGGAGGGGTAAATCCTTCTTTTGGGCAATATCTGACTGCAGTTTCAAGGCCTATTATTTGTCTAACGCATTATTTTCATTAGAGCAAGATTAGGCAACCTGTTGTTCTCCTGGTATCTCAGATGCTATCTGGACCTTATGGGAGTTGTCCGAAAAACATTGAAAGCGCCGGCCTGCCGGGTTAGCTGCCGATGGAGCAAGACACCGTTTCCTTTGCACAATTCCTCCTACGAATTCTCAAGTTGACTCCCAGCCTCACTAGGTAGACCACAGCTGGAAAGCAATTCGAATGGACGGCTGAAATAGAACGGGCTATAAAGCAGGGGGTCCCCAACACCCCGGATCACAGCCCGCTACTGGGCTGCGGCCTGTTCAAAACCAGGCTGTGGAAGGGATGGGTAAGCTTGTGCATGCAATGCAGCACCATTTGGTGTGAGCAGTGGGCGCAAAACTTGGAGACCGCTGCTATAGGAATCTTGCAAGTATGTTTCTGTACCTCTTCCCTCTTCCTATACTCCCGTGAATTAGGGAGGGGTTTGTTTGGGCTACTTCCAGGGGTGGGATCCTACCAACTTAACTGGTTCGCTCTGTTTTTGTGTGTCTGTGTGTGTGTGTGTGCCCAGTTTACAGAAAACTCACCTTCTGCGTGGCTGCTGGCGAGGAAAACAGCTGAGGCACAGCAGTCCACTCTGCTGCGCCGATCAGCTGGGCTTCGGAAAAGGAAATATAGGTGAGCCTAGTGCAGGGGCAAGCACCCTTCAAAGTCAGAGCGAACAGGTTTGCTCCCAGCTGATAGTTGGAGCTACCAGTTCTCCCAAACTGGTCCGAACTGGTAGAATCCCACCCCTGGTTGCTTCTGAATGTTATATGGATACTCTGGTCTTAAATAATGCTTTAACCCAGTGGTTCTCAACCAGAGTAAGTTCTACTGGTTCGGATCAATTCGGCCGAGTAGGTAGTAACTTGGCTGGCCACGCCCCTGAACTGGTTCTATCGGCGGCGCCATAGGAGGTGCCATTTTGTTTTTTGCTTCTCTTCATGTGCAGAAACAATTTGTTTACTACTGTGCATGCCTGCATGCGAAGCGCATCCCTGAGCTAACTGGCAGTAACAGAAGCCGGAACCCACCCCTGTTCTCAACCTGTAGTCTGCAGACCCCTGGAGGGCCATGATGTCATCTCAGGGTGTCTGCAAAAGCTTGAAGTAATGATGATTTAAATCTTGAATGTAGTGTTGGGGGTCCATGGCCACAAAAGGTATTTAAAGGGGGTCCAGGGTGAAGAAAAGGTTAAGTCACTGCTGTAGCCCATTTTTGTTTGTTGTAGCCAACAAAGCCTGCATAGCTCTCTGGACATCACCTTCCTTATTCTTTGCATTTACATTTTCATTTTTTTTTAGAGATGAAAAGGGCTCCTCTTCTGGGGATGTGGCTTTCCAATCCCTTTTAAAGGAAAAAATTAACTGATTTCCTTAGGGAAAAAGAATACAGTATATATACCCCCTCACCTGCTTTCCATTCCTGTGGTGGGATAACTGTAGTTGTCACCTCCTCCTGGATTCCTAGGGAAAGTAAGATGTAGAATAATAGATTTGGTATGATATCGCCAGAAGCTCAGCGCTGGGTTACCTGGCTTCCATGACATCAGTCCACTTGACTGGTGTGTGTGTGTGTGTGTGTGTGTGTGTGTGTGCGCGCGCGCCCTATGACCACCTCATTCAGCATGCCTTGTCAGAAAGATCAAGGCTCAAGGCTTTACTGGAAAAGATGAACTCACTTTCTGATTTAGAAATCGGGAAGCAATATTTTATTCTATGGAAGGATGTGCTGGAGGGAGGAGTGGGAACAGAGGTCGGGCGAACTGGTAGTTGCGGTGGTGGGAGGCTCTGCCCACCCATCTGGACACTTCTGTGCATGTGCAGAATCGTCGCATGCACACGCATGCACAAGCAAACCGGTAGTAAAATAAATTGAAACCCACCACTGAGTGGGAAGAATTTGCTGTCGATCATGATTGTATGATACATGGAAAACAATTAAGAGATTCTGTGGGTTTTATGCGTTTGCATATGGAACAAAATTTATTTATTTATTTACAATTACCCTTTGTTATTTTTATAAATAATTCAAATTAGTGAACATACCCAACTGTAGGAAGTTAGCACCCACCCCTCTCCTAGAAGAAAGAAATATTCTAGGAAATATTAAAAGAGCAGAATATTATATTTCCCTGGTGAGAAATGGAGAAACATGTTTTTTAGGCAGGAAGCAGGCTCACTCTTAATTATTAATACCCCCTACCCTCCTCAATATCCCAAAGCAGATGTCAGCACTTAAGAGATAGCTAGGTTTATTCATAGGCAAATGCCCTCACCCAAGATCCAACAAAGGTAGGATTAGCCCTCTACCCATCTAGCAACAGAACTCACCACATGGCACCTGGGGAGATTACATCACCCAAGAAGATTCAACCAAGCTAAGGACTCAAGATACTACAAAGTTATTCCTGCATGGCCCCATGGGAGTCTTACAACCAATCAGAATACATTTCTTACACAGGAAGAGGAAGCTCCAAGGCAGGGCCCAAGATAGGTTATAAATCAGTAGTGGATTCCTACCGGTTCGGACTGGTTTGGCCAAACCGCTAGTGGTTTGGCAGCCTGGGTCGCTGGAACTGGCAGCGACCCAGGCCTGCCACGCCCCCGAACTGGTTCCCTGGTTGTCGCTGTTGGCACCGCCATCTTGTTTTTCACAGAACAATTTTAATTTCAATTTGCATACTTGCCCAGCACACATGAGGCGTGCACAGCGCATAAATGAGTGAACTGTCAGTAGTGCCTGCTGGAACCCACTCCTTATATAAATCTATGTCACCCATGTGCTTCTTTTTTGCTCAGGACCTCAAGCCATGTGGTCCTGTCCACCATTAAACCATCTTTCCAAGCAGTTTCCATGGTTCCAGTGTCTTTCTCCCAACTTAGAACTAAACCCAGATGGACATTACTTCCAACACAACCTTCTTCCTCCTATTTTCTCTACAATAACAACCCTGTGAGGTTGCAAGGACAGAGAGTGATTGGCCCAAAGTCACCCAAAAGCCTTTCATGATTAAGGCAGGACTTGAACTCACGGTCTCTCACTTTCTAGCCTTGTGCTTTAACCTCTAGATCAAATGGGCAATATATTGTACATATATAGGTACTCCTATACACATTTGGTCCCACATTTGGGATTAGAAGTTCTGTTGCTAAGCAACGTGGTTGTTAAATGCCATGCCTGACTTTGCAACCTTTTTTCGCCATAATTGTTAAGTGAATCGTGTGGTCATTAAGTGAATCCAGCTTCCTCCATCAACTTAGCATGTCAGAAGCCAGCTGGGGAGGTTGCACATGACTCTTGAACACTGCAGTCATCATAAATACATGCCAGTTGCCACATGCCTGAATTCTGATCACATGATTATGGGAATGATGTGGCAGTTTTAAGAGTGAAGACCTGTTGTAAGTCACTTTTTTTTTGGTACTATTGTAACTCTGAACAGTCGCTTAACAAGTGGTAGTTAAGTCAAGGACTACCTGTATGGACATTACTTTGATGAAGTGAATAGAATTGAAAGAATGGCAGCTTCTCTGCTTAATTTTTTTTCTTAAGAAAATTGTAATTTTGCACCAAAGACCAAATATATTTACAAGGACAGCATGAGATAAACTCAAAACATATGGAATGATGAATGGTTGTTATCCACCATCCCATCTCCATCTTTAGAGACTGCCTGTGTGTGATTTGCAGCTTTCTAATTTTATATTTAAAATGTATATATAACACTCTGCCATTCCTCCCAAGCCCTTAGTGTTGGCATAGACATTATCCCCCCCCCCCCCCTTATTTGATCCTGACAACAACCTTGAGGTTTTAAGATGGTGAGTAGCCAAGTTGGGTTTTATGCTAGAGAGGAGAGAAGTTCTCAATGCTGAAGTTTCTTTCCAGACTGGTAGTCTAACCACCAGCCCCCCCCCCCCCCGGTAATTGGGGGTCAAAGAAATCAAGGTGGCGGCTTTTGCTGTGTGATTGACATTCTAGTTCTTTTTTATGTGTGCTGCATGGCCCTACTAACCACTCTGAAATGCCAAACAACGATTTTATGGCATCACCTGAAGACTTTAAGAAATGGGAAACTAGAATCTGTAGATCCTGGCCTCTTGCTTCTTCTTCCCTATTGATCCAAGGGGCAGAGGAGAATTTCCCCAACTTGGTGCCCTACAGATGTTTTGGGACTGCTAATCCTATGCTTACCCAGGCATAAGGGTGTGTCACTAGGAAGGTGCCAGGTTGGGTGGGGGGGAGGCTGCACCAAAATGTCCCATTCTCAAACTGCCTCCAAGAAATGAATTGCTGTCCGGATGCAGATTGGGCTGTCCCACAAGGCTGACATGGAAGAAGGTTTAAGGAAGAAGAAAGCTTACGAATGCAAGGTATGTGAGCGCTGCGGCTTTGCTGGAAACCCTGGGCACATCGATTGCAGATCAGGCCGGTGACTCCGTTCTTGCACTGGCACTGCCCAGTGGTCTGGTTGCAAATGGCCCCAGTAGCCCCAATAGGATGACATTGGCATGCTGGAAAGAAAAAAGAGGAGGAGTTATGGAAGGAGAATAATGTACTTGACCATCTCTACAAATATCTATGTTTTTGTTTAAAAAAGGTTTGCGTTCTTCTACAGTGAGTTCTAGTTCCATCTTCGGCCTGACAGCCGGCTGGATGACTTTCAGCAAATTACCAGGAGACAGTGAGTTCTAGTCCCACTTTAGGCAGATGGCGAGTTCTAATCCCATTTTAGGCATGAAAGCCAGCTGGATGACTTGGGGGCCAGTCACTCTCTCTCAGCTGAACCCACCTCACAGGACTGTTGCAGAGGTGGTATTCAGCCAGTTCTAACAGATTCTGGAGAACCGGTAGTGGAAATTTTGAGTCGTTCAGAGAACCAGCAAATGGCTGGCCTCTGGCTGGCCCCGCCCCTAATCTATTTGCAGGTTGGTGGGGTGGGGAGGGAATAGGGGTTTTGCAGCATCCTTCCCCTGCCACGCCTACCAAGCCACACCATACCCACCAAACCATGCCCCACGCAACTGGTAGTAAATAAAAATGAATCTCACCACTGGACTGTCGCTCTGAGGAAGATGGGTGTGGGAAATGACCAGGTTGAGCCCAAGGGAGAGGTCAAACGTCCCTTGGCACCCACAAGAGATCTAAGTCCAGCCCATGATGAATTGATTCTTATCTACCATCTATTTGCTTTGACCATTAGTAGTTCAGATTCTTGTAGAGAGCATCTTTGCAATAAACTTTTATATCCATTTGAACTGCCTGCACTTCCTGAGCTTGACAATGAGTGGTTAAGAAATACGATCAAATAAAATAGGAGGAGGAAAGAATGTTAAATATGTTCTCCACCTTCAGCTAATTATAAAGTAATAAACACAGGAATAAAAAAAAATCTTGCTTATTGATAAAGAATTGAAACTCCCTGAATGACAACGGTACATTTGCAGGGTAGGGTCAAAAAAGCCAAGATGACAATTGTAACTGTGATTGAAGCTCTGCTCCTTTTTATATTCCTTGGACATAAAAAAAGGAGTAGGCTTTGATCAGGTAGGCAAGGCCGCCATCTTGATGCTTTTGTGGGTGTCTCCTGGCAAGGATGGTCTGGGTTACAGGACCTGACCCACCTTTGCAGGCTCTGTGGCTGGTGATGGGATGGCTGAAGTCACGCTTAAAGCCTGGTGAGCAATACTGGCAGTGGCGCCCGGCCGTGTGGTGGCGACAATTCAAGCAGATCCCCCCGCTCCGGCGCCCCGAAAGTTCAAAAAGCTCCATGCTGAAGCGGCAGCGATGAGAATGGCGGTGGCAGTTGCAGGCTGAGGACACAGGAAGGGGGTTCATCGGTTCAGGCAACTTTCTCCAACAATGTCCAAAACCTCTTCCACCCACCTCTATGTCTTGTATGCCCAGCCCTGCAAGCCAGAGGTGGTATTCAGCAGGTTCTGACCAGTTCTGGAGAACCGGTAGCGGAAATTTTTAGTTCGGAGAAGCGGTAAATACCACCTCTGGCTGGCCCCGCCCCCATCTATTCTCTGCCTCCTGAGTCCCAGCTGATCGGGAGGAAATGGGGCAGTAACCTGCCATGGCCACCACACCTTGCCACACCACACCAAGCCCACCAAGCCACACCCACAGAATGGGTAGTAAAATTTTTGAATCCCACCACTGTAACAAGCCTCCCCCCCATATAAGAGGGGTCCAGAGGGACAGCGTGGGTCAAGAAATCCAGATGCTGGCTGCAACAGGCTGATCAAACCCCAGTTCTTATTTTACATGCATTGTGCAGCTACATAGGTTAACCTCACTCTGCCCCAGAAATCCCTTATAATGTGGTTTTTTTTTCCAACAGGCCTGGAAATCCCCTAGGAAGAAAAATCATGTATGCTGGTTATTAATTCTAACTCTCTCACCATCCCGTTTTTATTCAAGTGTAATGAATGCAATTGTTTTAAGTGATCTGTAAAACAGGTAGTTCTTGACTTATAACCATTCGCTTAATGCAGGGGTGAAATGCTACCGGTTCGGGCTGCTTCACCTGAACCGGTAATAAAAATGCTACTGGTTCACCCAAACCAGTAGTAAAATAAAAAAAATGAAACCGATTCGGGCAAACTGGTTTTTCCAACAATCAGCTGTGGTGTGCGATTTATATTAGCTAGAATTTGCAGGATTTCCAGCTTTCTAGCTAATCTAAATCGCGTGGCACAGTGGATTGCCCCCCCCTCACTGTTCACCTACCTTTGCAGTCACGCTCGGTAGCAGGCTCTGTCCACCCACCCAGACATCATCACGTCCGTTTTTGATGCTCTGCGCATGTGCGCTCACATTGCTACCAAACCGGTAGTAAAGGTAAGTTGATTTCACCCCTGGCCTAATGGCTATTTGAAGTTACAATGACACTTAAAAAAAGGTGATTTATGATGATCTCTGAACCTGGAACTGTCACAGCATTCCCTCCCTCGTGTGATCGAAATTCATGCATTTGGCAACCAGCACGAATTTACAATGGTTACAATGGTGTCACTGGGTGGCGACATACAATCTTCCCAAGTGGCTTCCGACAGGCAAAGTCAATGGGGGAAGCTGGATTTGTTTAACCACTGCATGATTCATTCAACAACTACAAGGGATTAGCTTAATAGCTGTGGCAAAAAAAAGTGTGCAAAATTGAGCCTGACTACCTTAGCAACCACCTAGCTTAACAACAAAAATTCCGGTCCCAGTTGTGGTTGTAGGTCAAGGACTACTTGTACTGGCGACATGGGGAGCAAGCAAACCTAATCAATAGATAATACATATATGTGTTAGATGGGTTGCCATATAAATGTGATAAATATATAAAGAATAAAGAAATAAATAGGGCTGAGCTTTGATCCTATCACAGCCACCCTCTGGCCTTTGTAAAAAAAAGTTTTCCTGTGAATGACCCTCCAGTGTTAGGAATTTTTGTCCCCACAAAAAACAACCACCATAGGCAGCAATGTTTTGTTGAAAAATGAAGGAATAAGATCTCTGTTTGAAGGTATGAAATGCAAGGTTACCAATAAATATAAGTATACTTTCTGGGGGGAAATAATGCTAATGTTAACTGAATATATATTGTAGAATGGAAATGAGGCCTTTAGTTATATTAGATGAAACATTTGAGACGGTAAATATTATTTGAAGATGCAGATGTTAAAACATTGTAACCAAACGACATGCTGTATGTGATGATGGTTTTTTTTTTGTGTGTGTGTGTGTGTGTTTGTTTTTTTGTTGTTTTGTTTTTGTTGTTTTGTTTTTGTTTTTTTGTCTTTCCCCCCCTTTTTTGGGTCTTCTCCCTTTTTTTAAAAAAACCCTAGGTTATTGTGGTGTCTATTAAATATATAACAGAGAGGGGGGGGGTGTGTGTATGGGGGGAAACGTAGTAGGGATGCACCTGTAATCAAATGACATACTGTATGGGATGATGGTGTTTTTTTCCCCTTTTTTGTGTGTGTGGGGGGTTTTTTTTCTTTTCCCTCTGCCTTTCCTTTTCTATTGTTATGTGATTATGTTCTCTATGTAAGAAAAAAAAATAAATAAAAAAAAAAAACCACCACCAAATGCTTAGCAGTTCACTGCTTGTGAGTACCAAGAAATCCTTGTTGCCTCTAGTGGCATCAAGGGAATCCTCAAATAAATTGAAAGATGGATGATAGTGTTTTTGAAAAAGGGCCCAAGCTTTCCATGTCACAAGAGTTCGATGTTTTCACATGATCTTTATCCAATTAAAGATGCTAGGTTGTATGAGGTTTTGGTGAAATTGCTGACCTCACAACTTTTTGGGGGGTTTAAAACAAATGGGAGAGAGCCCAGCAATGATCCTAAAAATGCCTCCAAAAGATTGCTGACTCTAGCAAAGGATGTGTTGAGATTCCAGATGAGGGCCAAATTGTCATACAATCTTGGAAGAACTGCAATCCAGTTTGGCCATTCTCCTTTTTCCCAGGGACCATTTAAAAAACAGAGAATTCATGGGATGTTGGAAATGCTTTTTAAAAAAAAACATATTTCAGGGGATCTGAAAAGATGGCTGGCCTAACTCTAACCGTAACCGTAACCGTAATCGTAACCAAAACCAAAACCAAAACCCTAACCCTAACCCTAACCAAAACCCTAACTCTAACCCTAACCCTATCCCTAACCCTAACCCTAACCCTAACCCTAACCCTAACCCTAACTCTAACCTTAACTCTAACCCTAACCCTAACTCTAACCCTAACCCTAACCAAACCAACAGCAGAGTGGATGGGATTGTTTTTTTTTGAATAAGGTTTTGGAAAGGTGCCCATGGCAGAATCTTTCCAGTTTGGGAAGGGCCATGTTTGAATGGGGCTTTATTCCTGCAGAATTCCAAAGAACAGGTCCCAGCTCTGCATACAGGAAGTCCTCAGCCACTGGTGCTCTATCTCCCCTGCAGTCTCACCCACACATTCATGAGCATCTTTGGGGGTTGCCCGTTGCCAGGGCCTATCCCAGTAGAAAGTTTTGCAGGTGTCACATTCAGGGCCGGCTGTGTTGTGCCGACAATCACACTGAGGCACCCCTCCATCTTTCCCAGCTGTGCACCGTGAGGCATGTCCATTGCATTTACATCTGCCTCCAACCTGCAGCTCAGCTACTCCGTAGGAGGCCTCTTTCCTGCGCATCCCTAAAATCCGGGCTGAGTACATGCGGTCAAAGGACATGCGGAGGTCAGTAGCGGTCACCCAGTCGTGGAGGATGGGGCTATACTCAAATCTCTGGGCCGAAGGGCGGCCGGCAAGAGGCATGAAGGCCACCAGCCCTCCTGTGAGGGGCTTCAGTGCTGTTTGAGCCTCGATGCAAACTGCTTCATGCTCCATGCTTTTCACAATGGTGGTGGTTGGGGGCAAATGGTAACGCCGCCAGCAGTGGCTGGAAAAGAACTGAAAAGGCATCCAACTGCGTCCATAGTCCATGGACTTGTAAATGGCCAAAGATTCTGGTCGTGGGGAGCAGAATCGCAGAGCCACATAAAGGATTTCCATCCGCCGGCCCAAAGCCAAGCTAAGCGTGGCATTGGCTGTTGGCTGAGACCACCAACATGTTGTATCCCCGTCGCCATCTGTGAGACGCTCTGACCGGTGGGTATGTTCTTGGCAACCTTGGCAGAATTTGGAGGCTGGGTCGTTCGAATCGCGAAAGGCGCAGAATCGCCCGGGAGGACCATTGCACGTACTGGAGGCTTCCACCAGACGGCCCGATGCCAGTTCAGACAGCTCAGGCAGGCAGAATTGTGGGCGGTGGTTGGCATTGTAGCAAGGATCATGAGGGTCGGGAGTTTGGCCCAGAAGGAACGGGAGGAAAACTGCAACACCCCATGGGAAGTGAAGCATCTCTGGGGAAAGGCGCCAGGAGTCAACAGCTCATCACCTGGAAGATGAGAAGGTAATAGCTGATATGAAAAAAAGAGTGATGGACAAAAGACTCTGTTCTTCCCTGCCCTCCTTCCTATCTTCTACCTATTGTTTCCAAAAATAATAGAGGGAGAGAGGGAGAATGAGAGAATGAGTGAGAAAGAAAGAATGTTTGTGTGTGTGAGAGAAAGAGAAAGTGTGTGTGAGAGAATGAGAGAGTGAGAGAGAGAGAGAGAAAGAAAAAGTGTGCGAGAGAGAGAGAATGAGAGAGTGAGAAAGAATGTGTGTGTGAGAGAGAATATTAGAGAGTGAGAGAGAATGAGAGAGAAAGAGAAAGTGAGAGAGAGAATGAGAAAGAATGAGAGAGAAAGGGAGAGTGAGAGAGAAAGAAAGAGAAAGTGTGTGTGTGAGAGAGAATGAGAGAGAGAAAGTAAGTGGGAGAGAATGAGGAGAGTGAGAGAGAATGAGAGAGAGAAAGAAAGAGAGAGAGAGAGAAAGTGAGTGAGAGAGAATGAGGAGAGAGAGAGAGAGAGCGAAGCAAGCTAAAGGCTCATGTGATAAAAATATGGCTATGATACTGAAGATGTTTGATGATAGTAAGCTATACAAATTTGTGCCTGTTGAGAAGTTCAGCTGCCACAATCCCCAGCCAACATGGCATTCATCTACCATCTCTGACATTTAAAGCATTCTGTGGTGGCCAGTGGCCACCATAAGTATGGAGTTCAGTGCACGTGATTTTCTCACCTCGAAAGTTGTTAAAACACCTGTTTTGGGCTCTCTGTTCATTTGTACCACACACAAATTCACACACATGGATGTCTCCCTCCACCCTCCTGCCTCTGATCTCAACAACTTTCTCTAATATTGAACCCAAGAGCCAAGCAGACAAGGATGAAATGACCATGAGAAAATAGCTTTAAACTCCCTTTTCATAGCTGAGGCACGGATGGGAATTGGCACAACACAGAGGCCTGGAGGATGGATGGAGTGGAGGAGTCAGGAGAGACCACAGACAGGGGATAAACAAAGATAAGTTGTTTTTGGCCTTGCATATATTGGAAAGGACGCTTTAAGCATTCTAGCAGATATAACATGTAAAGCAGGGGTGGGATTCAGTTGGTTTGGACTGGTTGGGGAGAACCAGATGATAATTTTACATCTGGTTTGCCGAACCAGTAATTGTAAGGACTGGCTGGCACCGCCCTCCTAGGAGTCTCCATGTGGCCCATTTTGGATGCCAGGTAAGTTCAGGGCACATGTGGACAAAAAATATGCCTCCCGGAAGTTCCGGAAATCTGGAAATGGCCTCAATTCCAGTCTCCGGAGGGCCTCTGGAGCCTGGGGAGAGTGAAAACACCCCTCCCCAAGGTGCAGGAGGCCGTATAGGCCACAACCACCATGGCCACGACCACCCAGCAACCAGGCAGAGAACTGGTTGCTAAAATTTTTGTATCCCATCCCTGACATGACAAGGAATTTTGGATTAAGGAATAACCATTTGTGGATTATGCTAAATTCAAATTCTGAATTTTGTCTACATTCTGGCATGGTGGAGGGTTGATTAAACGTACTGGTTTCTCAAGGGGATCAGTGCAGCTGGAGCATCACAGGAAGTAAGGACGCATGCACGCACATGTGTACATTCATACTGGTTCCAATGGGATCTGGAACCCACCACTGCTTCCCACCAAAGGTGGTCCCTATTTTTCTACTTGCATTTTTTACATGCTTTCGAACTGCTAGGTTGGCAGAAGCTGGGACAAGTAACGGGAGCTCACTCCGTTACGCAGCGCTAGGGATTTGAACCACCAAACTGCCGCCCTCTCTGATCGACAAGCTCACCATCTTAGCCACTGAACCACTGTGTCCCTCAGATGTGCTTAGGGCTCCTATAACAGGAAGAAATATGTCCCAAATATTTATCCTTAATAGTTATTGATCCCAACTATTTATCACTTGTAATAAATGGTGGAATGATGTGGCAAGCTAAAACAAAATCATTTAGAACTCTTTCCCCCAAAACCGAGGAATCCTGGCTTATTCCAATGCAAAATGACCTGACAAGGTGCAGTGCAAACAGTAGCATATTAAAAATAGATGCAGTTTGTCTAACTTAGATAAAAATAGCTGCATTGATGGGTTTTTTTGGGGGGGTTACTGCCAGGCAGTGCTCGACTTATCACCACAATTGGGGTGATTGTTAAGTGAGTCACACATGATTTTATGACCTTTTTTTGCCATGGTTGTTAAGTGAATAACACGGCTATTAAGCAAATATAATTTCCCTCATTGACTTTGTTTGTCAGAATCCAGCTGAGAAGGTCACAAGTGATGGTCACATCACCATTTGCTGCAACACTCAGAAAACACATGCTGATTGCCAAGCATCCAAATTTTGATCTTGTGACCGTGGGATGATTGAAAGTACCAGGACTGGTTGTAAAATGCTATTTTCAGTGCCATTGTAACTTTGAACAGTCACTAAATCAATAGTTGTATGTCAAGGACCACCTAGATTGCCTTTTCATTGCACTTAGACTTAAATACCTCTCTTATCCATAACCCAAAGAGGCACTTTTAGTGTCATTTTCCAATGCGTGAGAAGCATAAAAATGGCCATAAACCCATAAACCACATAATCTCGGCATCTGCCTTGTAAAGATAGCTCCGAATAGAGCTTGGCAATTTAGCAAGGCTGTTAATTAAGGGATGGGTTGAGGAACCCATTTGTCTGAAGTGGTGTAGGGTTTCCTGCCTAGGCAGGGGGTTGGACTAGAAGACCTCCAAGGTCCCTTCCAACTCTGCTATTCTATTCTATTCTATTCTATTCTATTCTATTCTATTCTATTCTATTCTATTCTATTCTATTCTAACCCCTTGGAGACCTTGCAAGTCTAATCTATGGTTTCTTCCCCCTTGATAGGGGATCATCATTGCCAGAGAGGGATGTGATGTCTCCAGCTTGCCTTTCCCTCCTCTGGTTGCTAATTGCCTTGAGGAGGTTGCTGGTGGGATAATCCTCAGCCACCAGAGAGATGGTGTCTCTTGCAGACTATGTGGTTTTTCTGATTTTCATGCATGGTGCAACCCTATGCTACATGCTACAAGCCAGAATTTCATCCATCTTGCAAACTTTGCCTTTTTTGCAAATTCCAGGTTGGGCATGGCTTCCTTGGTTGTCTGCATGTGACCTATTGGAACTAGTGGTCTGTGCATATTATTCTTTCTTCCAGAGCTGACCTATAGCTGGAAACATTATGGGGCTTAAAATGCAATTCTACCATGTGTGTATAAGATGCACGCAAAGCGGCAGGAGTTCAACAAATTATACACCGAATGCAGCATTTTTGGCCTCCTGAAACCCTGCCCCTTTTGCAAAAATGGCCGTGCATATCCTTTAGGAGACTTTCAGAGTGCTCCTGGAGGCTGGGGAGGGCAAAAATGAGCTTAAAATGGGCCTTTTTCCTCATTTGTGTCTTCCCCAGCCCCCAGGAGCACTCTATAAGCCTCCTAAAGGCTATGCATGCCCCCCCCTTTTTTGACAAAAACCAGACCTGTTTTTGCCAAAAAAAATAATAATCAGCCTGTTTATGGGAGGTCTGCAGAGTGCAAAAACTTTTTTTTTTTACATTTTCCTCTTCAAAATCTTGGTGTGTCTTATACTCCAGTGCATCTTATACACTGAAAAATACGGTATTTCATTGTTTGTAGATATTGAAAAGTGATTCTATTGCACTAATAATATGTAGGATAAGATGGATTACTTCTGACCGAACATTTTATTTATTTCGGTCATATCCTTCCTTTCTTCCAGTGGGAACTCATGACTATGTCTGCACATAACAAGGCAAGTGAATCTGAAGTTTTTCTTCCCCCCTAAAATAAATATATGCACATGTATTTATATCTTCCAGAAGCCAGATTGGTGAAAAAAGTAGAATCAGGGGAAACAATATATTAATAGCTACTGATTAGAATTAATTACCTGTGAAATAAGGTATCTTATAACATTAATTGATTCCGAACTCCACAGACTCGCAACTCTACTCTTTCCTTTCCCATGGAGAAACACAGAAGTACACACAATACAGACCTGAACACCCCTCTCTCCTTCCAGGAAAAATGATAAAAACAACAACAGCATTGTCCCAAAGGTGCTTTTTCAGCAGGCAACTGCACTTCTTTGTTTTTTTTTCTTTTGAAGACATTTCACTCCAAGAAATGTCTTCAAAAGAACCTTGTCGGTTCTCTTGGGGAGAGAGGGGAATGGAAGGATTTATCTGTGTATTCTTTGCTGGTCATTTGCATCCTTTTAGTGGGTCGTTGAAGCACTTGGAGGTTTATCTATGTCCGTAATGTGGAACCTATGGCATGCCTGCTACAGGTGGCACGTGGAACCATTTCTGCCGGCATGTGAGCTGTCAGCTCCAATGCGCATGTGCATGTTGACCAGCTGATTTTCGGCCTTCCAGAGAGCCGGGAAGGCCGTTTTTGCTGTCCCTGGGCTCCAGGAAAGCCTCCGGAGCCTGGGGATGGCAAATAACAGGCCCAACGGACCTACCGGAAGTTTGTTTCTAAACTTCCAGTTGGCTCATTGGGCCTGTTTTTCGCCCTCCCCAGGCACTGGAGGGTCTCCTGGAGCCTGGGAGGGCAAAAAGGGCCTCCCCTGGACCCCCAGAGGAAATACCAAGCTCAGCTTGGAGGAGAGCAGTGGGGCGTGCATGGGGGGGGGGAGTATGGGGCAGGGGTTGTGCGTGCATGCGCATGTGGGGGGTGCTTTGCATTATGAGTGCTGGCACGCATGCACGCCCTTGCATTTTTGGCACCCAACACAGAAAAGTTCACCATCACTGATCTATGTCTTCAGGATCACCTGAATAGCGTTCCTGGTTCCAGCAGTCTGCAACCCTTGGAAATCCATCCCCACTCCCACACCATTCAAAGGGTCCTCATCCCTCATTGGTTAGCCAATACAG